AAATTGATTACATATAAAAGAAAATTATAGAAAGACTATTGGTGTGAATGTTTGAGAATGAGGATTTAAAGTTACTTATTGATGAATTGCTTATCATAGATTGCAAAAGATTTGTCAATAATCTTCATTAAAATATGCAAAAAAATTAATGTAGTCTATGATGCAAGCCTAGGTTATCTCTCAGTGACATTGGATGAAAAACATACATCAAACATGTTATAAACATTAACTCAGAAAGCAAGTAAAAGGGAAGGAGGTTTGTGATTTCAAGTTCAATATACTTAAGCAGAAAATTAAATTGTAAGTTCAATCAACGGAATATAGTAACTCCTAATTTGGCCATATAGATTCTATCCCAATTTTTCTTAAAATTTAATACTTTACCCTTTACCCTAAATTAAGTCAATTTAACAAGCAAAATTTAACCTTAAATTTTGATACTAAATTAAACAAATCAATGGGCTCCAATATCTAATCCTTAGGATTAAGCAACTTTAGAATTAATCCCGGAATTAAGCAAACTAAGTTCAGAACTTCCATTAAAAACAAATTAAAAGTTGATTAAGCAACACCCTCTCATGCAATTCTTAACTTAGTTCAAGAGATTAGTGAAAGAAGAAATTTTTAAAGAAGGATTTGTATTAACATTAAAGACCCAGGAATTCAAGAATTAATAGAACTCACTAGGGATTACAAGAAAATTAGCCCTCCATAAGGATAAGTATTACTATTGCAAGATGAGAATCATGCAATTCTTAACTTAGTTCAAGAGATTAAGGAAAGAAGAAATTTTTAAAGAAGGATTTGTATTAACATTAAAGACCCAGTAATTCAAGAATTAATAGAACTCACTAGGTATTACAAGAAAATTAGCCCTCCATAAGGATGAGTCTCACTATTGCAAGATGAGAATCAAGGAAAGTTAATGACATCAAGATAAAAATCAAAGAAAAGTAAGGAGAAATGAAAATTAAACCCTAAGTTGGACCCTTAGCTGTCACCCAAGGTTAACCTAACTCTGTAAAAGTATCCTAAAATAGTAAAAAAATCTATTTATAGTAAACTTGACACCCTTCATAGTAGTTACTATCATTCATAATAGTAATTACATACATGCAACATCCATAAAGTCCCCTCTCTCTGTAGTGATTACTATTGTAAATGAAAGTAATTACGCACAACGTGTAATCACTATGGTGGACAATAGTAAGCATGCGCAATTGCACCTCTCCTTGACTCTATAGTGATCAATATTGCTTCTGAAAGTAGTTGCTTTGGTCTATCTCTTGGAATTTACTTGCTGTAGTGATTACTATGGTGTCTGAAAGTAGTTGCTTTCACCTTATCTTTTTCTAAGAGCAAAAAATTCACAGAATAAGTCTGGAAATTCCTAGACAATTATTCAAGTAACCAAAATTTCAAAATATATTTACAGAAATTAGTGTAAATTAAACAAAAATTAAGAAAGCTATGATATTGTACCTAAATGAGATTTTTATGGTATTTACAATTTCTAAGTCTATTTTTCTATTAAAGAACAATAAAAAGATAAAAAAATTAATAAAATGTGGATTCATCACTTATATTACCAAATTGAAAAGAATTATTGAGATAACATGTGTTACGAAAGAATGACTGATATATGAGTGGAATAAAAGATTTTAGTATAAATTGTCACTGTCAAGTTTCTGTATGGATAATTACAAAGATATATTGAGGGTATAGAATAAAGAGTCAATTTTGGAAATCTGGAGAAAACGAGGGTGGTGAATGCTATTCATCGACGTGTACACGATTGAAAGCGAAAGTATCACATGGTCTCACACTCATTTTCTGACTAACACTCTTGACTATACCTTTGCTACAAGGTTATATAAGGCACATGTTGTATCTGTGTGTGGTAGCTGTCCAACAACTATCCATGTCGGCGTAAGTCCTTCATGACTAGGAAAAACATGTTGGCAGCAGTTTAGGGCTGTGAATATTGAAAGCACTAATAAATGATGGATCCATCAGAGTTGAAATGATTAAAGTGGTAAAAATTCAAAAATTATAATTATCGGATTTGGTTGAGTGTAAAAATTTAGTGTTTGAGTGACTTTTGGATAAAAATTTATAAATGAATTGTTCTTATTTTTGTGCATACTACATGAGATAATGTTTTCTATATTATTTAATTATTTTATAAAATAAAGATTTAGCGGGATAAAAAATACTCACCCTTATAATTATTTGTCAGGAAGTAAAAATAAAAAAATAAAAAAATATTCATCTGTCTTATGATCAAATTTTCAACTGTATTGTAAAGAATGATTTCTATTAAGATTTAATTTATTTTGAGAATTATAATAATTTGGATTAAATTTTCACTTAAAATTGATAAAATTATGTAAATATTTTAATATCAATTTTAAAATATATAATATTTTGATAAACCTTGTTGTAAATAATAAATTGAGATTTATTTATAATATTTAATAGGTTATTATTTAATTATAATATACATTTGACTTAGTTAAACTTTTGAACTACTAATATGAAGTTTTTGTTTATATTTTAAACTTTTATATATATATATATATATATATATATATATATATATATATAACATGAAGTAAGTTAATTATTTAAAAATGTAATTTCAATCTTTATTTTGATAAAAATTTATATTGCAGAGATTAACTTTTATCTCTTGTATGTAATATGATGAGACATATGTATAGAGTTTTAAATTTTTTATCAATTTCTATCATTTTGAGATTTACATAATTATAAATTTTATTTTATTGTTTTACAATTTGTACTTAATTCAACAAATTTTATTAAAACTTATTTATAAATAAAAGAAAAATAGTTAATAAATTAAGAGTGTTACATCTATCACTAAATTTTTTTTGTAATAGTAAATTTAATTTATATTAATATAATAAAATAAATAATTTAATTTAAAATTTTTAGATTTGTTAATTTTAAAATTTGAAAAATAAAAAATAAATATCACATAGGTAAGTACAAAATTAATAATAATACGAATACACATAATTTTGTTAAAAATTTTATAATAAGTACAATATAATATAATGAGAAATACTATTATTTCCTGTCTTTAGTTTAAAAATGATAATTTTACAAAGAATTTTTTTTTATACCTGATGCTCGTATATATAAAATAAACTTCTCTCTAATAAGTTTATTATTATCCATCATTTTTATTATTAATTTTTTAGATAAAGATATTCTATTAAAATTAAAGAAAAATTTTACCTTTCTAATCAATATCATGTTATTTACGGTGAAAAATGACAATTTGTAAAGAAATAATCTAAAGATCAATCTGGAGACTGGATTAGGTCCTCTTTGGATTCTTTTAAGTGTGTTATTAACGTAACAGTAAAATGAATGTTTCAGAATAAATAATTTAGCAAGAATAGTGAATATGAAAAGAGCAAAACTGAATCACAACATAGAGGTTCTTTGCAGTAAATGCTAAATATGAAACTAAATTACAGAAAGGAAATAAGCAACAAACTGGAATTAAAATGCGGAAGGGTAAATGTGCAGGAATGTAAATATGCTGAAATGTAAATGTACGACTCTTTACAACAGCGAACAACGGTCACCATGGGTCTCCTTGTAGCTGGTGTCTGCCGCGATGCAGAGTTTCAGCATTTCAGAGAATTTTGGTGCAGTGTCAGGGTGCAAAAAGTCGTCATCAGTAAAATGATGCTTTGGAGTATTTATAGACATGAAGACCACCACCTTTCTCCTCCTTTTGCGGCCACTTCTTAGTAACTACCTTCAACTGTTGATGCTCATTATCCACGATTGCTTGTGATCGTGTTGTTGGTTGGGGCTTCTTTCATAACCGCTATCGTCCACGATCTCCTTTGTGTAGTAGTGAATGTTGATAACTGGTGGTAACCGCTTTTGGATTTTGTAATGACTTGACCTATCAAGACTCTTGTTTTTCTATCTTTTGAGTATTTCTGGGAGAAACCTAAGAGACTCATTTAGTGCTATGGCCTTAAAATAGTTTCTTCTTGACTTCTCTTTTCAAGCCATTCTGGAGTTTTGAGAGCTTGTCTTGGTCTTGTGGACTTAGAATATTTTCTTTGCTCATTTATATTTCTCAAGCAATTTCTGGAGTTTTGAGAGCTTGTCTTGATCTTGTGGACTTAAAATCTTTTCTTTGCTCATTTCTATTTTTCGAGCAATTCTGGAGGGACTCTGAAGCTCAACTAGACTGGCAGACTTAGAATATTTTCTGACCACTTCTTGTTTTTTGAGCAGCTTTGGGTGTTAGGAACTTGGAAACTCCTCAAAACTCCTCGAAAAGGCCATCAGTTTTGTGGACTTAGAATATTTTCTGACCACGTTCTATTTTTCGAGTAGTTTTAGGTGTCAGGGACTTAGAGACTCCTCAAAACTCCTCGAAAAACCATTAGTTTTTTGTGGTCTTAGAATATTTTCTTGTCAGTCCTGTTTTTCGAGCAGTTTTGGATGTCAGTAACTTGGAAACTCCTCAAAACTCCTCGAAAAAGCCTTTAGTTTTGCGGACTTAGAATATTTTCTTGTCTTTCAAGCAGCTTTAGAGAAAAATCAACAATATGACAAAAATCTCCTAAAATAGCTCGAAATGTGTCTCTTTAAAGGTCTTAGATAATCTTTCAATATTCTCTTATGTTCAGGCTTATTTTTTGTCTCTTTCTTGACCCTCAAAACTTGTTGAAATGTAGTTTCCTTCAGGATGATTTTTAACTTAAAAATTTTTTCTTATCCCAAATACATGTTAATTTTAATTAAGTAATGAGTTTAAATTTGTTGTTAATAAGTTATAATCTAAAATGATGAAATAACTTTTTTATAAAATATATTATTAGATAATGCCTTCTAATTGTTATTCCATGACGAAGCATTGTAACAAATAATTCTACCGGTTGAGAAGGTATAGGGTTAAGGGTTTATTGTTATTATACCAGTCTATCGCGAGATTTAATAGCACATCCGGAGTTTCGCTGCGACCCTCTTCCTTCGACTTTTAAGGACTGTAACAAACACATTAACTTGAGTGATCACAGTCCCAAATAGGGCGACAAAATCACTTCCACTTTCTAACCCTTTCGTTCTAAAACGCCACCCTTTTCAGTGTTCTTTCAAGTTTTCGCCATAAAAAATGCTTCGCATCGCAGCAAAATTGTCATCAAGGGCTTCTTCAACTGCAAAGTCATTCCCCATTTCCTGCACCAGAATTTCCCCTCTTCCCTCTCCATCCTTCAGGTCATTCACCATTGGTTTGGAATTGGAAGCAAACATGGTAGTCCCAGATGCTATTAGAATGATCAACTACGCATTGAAACAAGCCAGAACTGAAAGATCACGTCAGAAAAATTATACCTCATTAAAATTGCTTCTTTTCTCGATGACCCTTTTGTGTTTTTTGTCCAAAGTTAACATCTTTTTGGTTTTTTGGTTGCGAACAGTTGGAGCGTACCGTATGGGTTTGACTGTGTTGAAGCACTGCATTACTACTGAGTTAACTGAAGGCAAAGACCCAGTGCGTGAGAATTCAAAAGGAATGGCCTTGCTTGCTATGTCCACCTTGTTATCTGAGAGGTTTCTTCTTTGTGATTATTTAGTGTTGTTGATTGTTCTTTTTTAATTCTGATGTGTTGGAGTTCAATTTTGTGGTTGATAGTTTAAACTCATTTGAGTTTGCTTTTATGTTAACTTTTTTTAGAGGAGAATACGGTGAAGCAATAGAGAAGCTCGATGGTGTTCAAGACTTAACCAATTCTTACTTGGGTGTTAGAGGTAATTAATTTTCTGCACCTCTTTGGTTAGTGCTTTTGTTGTGTTTACTATTTTCTTTTAACATGAATTTTTGTCAATGAGTTTGGGTTTCATTTTGGTTTCATGTTATAGTTGCTGCATTTGAAGCTCAGGCTGGCTTTCATCTAGAGTTGGGGAAGGTTGGTGTTTGTGCAATATGATCTCATTGTAAACTATTTTCCTGGCACCATTCGCTTTTATAAAGAGGAAAATTTGTATGTAGGATGATTTGGCATCGGTGGTGGCTGACAAATGCATTGATCTTGTGGAGAAGCAACCGCAAGCAAGAGATCATGAGGCTCAATATGTTCGTGCCAAAGCACTAAAAGGGCTGATTGAACTTGTCAATGGCAATATTGAGTCAGGTTGCGCCTAAGGTTTATTTGTTCATCACTGTTAGCCTGTTACTATTGATGAGTGCTTATTATATGCGTTGTGCAGCTGAAGCTTTCTTTGACAAATCTCTCTGTGACAAGCACGGCGATGGTATCTTTCTGTCTGTAGGTACTGTAGCTGGCATTCTTCGACACCAAATTGAAGTCTGGTTTTGTAGGTACTGCTGCTGTATCATATGCGGAATTCCTACAAATAAAACAGGACTATTCATTGGCAAGACAGGTTTACCGTAATGTCTTACAAGGTGCTATTGAAATAAAAAAGGCTGGGAGACCATACCTAGGAGCAGGTAACCTGAACTTGGAGGGTTTAACGATTGGGGCCATGTGTTCTTTAGGACAGCTTGAATCATATATGGGGTAGGCTTAATGATTTTTGTTTGGTTTTCCATAGACATGCTACAACCTTTTTTTTTCGCTTCCCTAGGTGATATATCACTAATAACTGTTGTTTCAGTAACTTCCGAAATGCAGAGATTTATTTGACACAGGCATTAGAGAAGGCAGAGGAAAACTATGGTGACTTATCGATTCTTTTTATCTGTTACCTAAACTCAATTTACTACCTTTATCACTATGCTTGGTAATGACATATGTTACTAATGTTTTGTGGCTCTATCTATTTGGTGAAGACCCTCATCATCCCAAGGTGGGGATTGTCTTAACAAGCATAGCTTTTATGTATGGGCGTAAAGCAATTCAGGAAGGCTCAAGTGCGCTCTTGATTCAAGAGGTTGTAACTCTAATTGCTGAATTGTTACCTGTAGAATTTGATTTTTGTAACTTATAGCAATGTCACATTTGTTTTATCATCTCTTTATTCCCATAATGAAAAAGAATAATCATTGGTTAAGTAATAAGTAAGATGCACCAAGCTGCCTTGTTTCTGGTTTAGTTCTCATTCTAAAGCTTTGGTGCTATGAAACTGATATTTTTTGCTGCAGCTTTTTATGCAAATAATATTTTTAACTTTCTTATGTTATGTAGAGAAGTGGACTCTGGATATAACAAATTGGTTTTCCATGCTTTATCTTATGTGATGTGCAAGTGACTTTTTTTTCTGTGAAAAAAATTTGAAATATTTTAGAATGAGCAGTGAGGCTACAATTTTAGATGTAGATATAACTTCCCTGACTAGTATAATCTGCCAATATATAACTTATTTACTGCTTAAATTGTTTAGCAATGCTTCACTTCTGTTTGATGCCTAATTGGTTACCAAAAATTGTTTTCGTAATTCAATAATTATAATAAGAAAATCATTGACATTGACAGGGTCTCTACAGAAAAGTGATTGATATTTTGAAGGTTCCACCAATGGAAACTAAGTCTGAGGAAGGTAATGATGTGTCATTTGATTCCACACTCCATTTATTGCCTATACAATATCTACCTACACATAATAAATGCATATTGAAACCAAACTTTAATGGTGTAGGTGCTGCACCATCGGTAGATAGAAGTGATATAGCGGCTTTTGCAAGAGGTATGACAGGTTCTTTGATCCATTATAGTTGATATATGATAGGGCAACCTGCTCAAGGAGTGTTGGGAGGATTAGAAAATACTAGTATTTTAAAAAGAATAAGTCTGACATTCCTAGGAGAAAAGTCCTTGAAGAGTAAGTTAACTTTTTGTATTGATCTTGTAGAGAGCTTGAGAGATAGATAGGCTTCCACATATAGGCTTGGGCAAAATGGCCTATATCACAAATCCAGTGGGTTTGCTCACATGTGCATGATACACTGGGCCTAGCAATCATTTTTGTTCGTGCTGAAATTATTTAATATTAAAATTCAATATTACCTTATCTAGTATTGTTTAATTTTGGCAGAGCATTGAAATTTTCTTATCTCATAGAGGTCCTTGTGTCTGGAATGCTGTCTTCCTCTTTCAAACAAATTCGATGATTGATAACTGATTTAGGTCCAATACACTTCTCTGATTTCCTTCCAGTATTGATGACGTGTTCTATGTCTACCTGTACATACTACATAATAACCTTCCCCCTCACTTTTCAGCATTTTGATTATAACATAACCTTCAAGGATACCATAGTTATTACTTATTGACAAGGCCAGGTCTCCCCTAATGTCATACAACACCCATATACCATTGCCTAAATGGTCAATTCTTTGAAATTAGCTTTAACTTCTTCAATGTCTTCTAGCTAGTCAAACCCCAAGCACTATATCTGCCCATGTTAGATCAAAGAAACACTTTGCACCCCTACCAATTCTGGCAAACTCAATTGGACCTGTCATTGCCAACACATTCCCGGCTTCTTATTCCGTTTCCCAGCTCAACTGATTACATAAGCTCCTCTGACTGTAACTTTGATTCTCCAACCAAATCATGTGTGATAAGTTATGAAAGCTCTAGAATGCATTAGCACAATAATCTGTTTTCCATTGATTGTGGCTCTTACTTCAGAGATTTCTTAGAAGTTATCCATGATATACTTTTGGTTCCCATGCCTATTAGCTTAACTGGAGTTTTAGATTCATTCTTCCATGTTTCTCACTCTCCATCCTTTTCCTTCTTCATGTCCGCATCAAGCCTAAAAATTAACAAATTAAAGCAACAATTTCAAAAAAACATGTCCAGGACCAAAGTATTTATTGCAGCAAAAGCAAAGCCTTGCTACAACTCCTCGTTGAGTAGGCAGTGGAATCCCACCAGTTCAATCTTTTTGTCTGCTCGAGTCAACAAATGATGGTGGTGATGTAAGAAAGGGTGTTGGTTGCGTTAATATGATGATGCACCCCTTGAACTCTAAATGTGTTGTTACATCCACAGCTGGGTTTGCCCTCAGTGTTATATTCCTGAGCCCCCCCATCAGAAGCAAGCCTATTCTTGTTGGGGCCAAGCCAACTCAAGCTGAAGGTTGCTCTGCAACCCAGCCCATTAAAGCTGTCAGTACCTCAACATGGCAGTGGTGCCAAGAGCAACTTACACCCACACTTCCCTCTGCTTAAGACCCATGAGAATTGCAGACATTCTTAGATGAGAAAATGTGAAATTGCTGCAACAAGGCTGCTTGAAGCATCCCCCATGAGATGTTCTTTATCCTGGCTTCTTACCATTGTAACTTATTGAGTCATTTCTTTTGAAGCAAACCGCAACAGCAATCAGTAATCACCCTCTTCCTCCTGGTACTTGATTGGTGTGGAAGTACATCTCCATTATAAGTTCAACTATAGTATAATGAATCTTGTCAGTGAAATATGAATTATGAAACTTCCAATCTCCTAAACCATGCATCTCCATGGTCTCCCCCCTTTGCCAGTCCAGTAGACCATCTCCATGGCCACTCTCAATTTGAATGCAATTGTCTCCATCCTCTCCTGACCAACTATTCTCAACAACTCGGCTAAGATGTCTTCAATCCTATGGAATTGTTCATTTGTCTCCTCCAGCCCCCTATCTATTGCCTCAACATTTCCTTCCTTCTGTGTTGATGATGATACCATTCAGGCTCCCATGATAATAAGCTCTAATAAAATTTGATAGGAACTGTATTGAATCTATTGATTGACTAGATAGGAAAATAGAGATAAGCACCTTATAACCTGTTAGAAACCAGAAAATGCACTGTATTGTTTAATGTCAGCAACAAGTGACAGTGATTACAATACCAGAGCCTAGGGTTCCTACAGAGATTCCTTACAAGAGAAATTCTGCTCTTAAGAAGAAAAGAAACAAACTCATTCCTGCCTTCTGCTCTACTACCATCCTTCCTGATATCCAGCTCTACTCTAACTAATGCCAAGAATTACACATTTTCCCCCTTACTTTTCTTCTTTCTCACATATACCCTCCATATTTTGGGCCTATCATTTGAGCCTAATAACTGATCCCCTTTTATAATATGCATAATATGTACACATGAAACACAGGGTGAACGCTTGAATTAGGAGGCAATTGGAGCTTATATGAACTTCCCATATTTCTCCAAAATCTGAAATGGTCTGTAGTAGCAAGGAGCTAACCTAGAATAAATTCTCTGAGATAGAAGATTGCCTATGGGGTTGCAGTTTAAGAAAAACCCAATGCCCCAGCATTATCTCCATATTCTTCCTCTTGTCTGCATAATGCTTCATTTGATCTTGTGCTTTCCTCAGGTTAAATTTTAATTGCTTCAATGCTTCATCCCTATTCTTGAGCTCCATAGCCACGGCTTCTACCTTGTTTCACCCTCTAAACCTCACCACTGATGGAGGTTTATGGCCACTCACTACTTTGAAAGGAGTGAACTCAGTAGGATGTAGTTATATGAAATGTGGTGTTATACCACAGCTCCATCCATGGTTATTAAATATACCAGTTTCTAGGCTGTCCTGATGCAAAACAGTGCCAGTATGACTCCAAAGACCTATTTACCTCTTCTGTTTGTCTATTTGATTCTGGATGATATGCTTTTCCCATCTTAAACACTGTCCCCTGTAGCTTAAAATGCTTTGTTCAGAATACACTAATAAAAATAGGATCCTATCACTAAGATTGACATAGGAATTCCATGGAGCTGCACCACCTCAGTCACAAGATTGCAGTGATGGTTTTTGCTGAATAAAGATACTTTATCAAGATAAAGTGTGCATATTTTGCTAGCCTGTCAACAACCACTAAAATAGCATGATACCCTATCAACAACCATGTGTCACCTTGTTACTTCTCCTGGAATATACCTTCCAAGGGTGGCATCTCAGTTTACTTGCTGATCCAATAGCTCCATTCTTGAGTTAGTAGTTTCACTGGTCTCCTCACTCGCCACCACTTGAGAAGCCATCTTGTCCTCAAGATTTAAGGAAGGAAATTGGTTGTGTATGAAAAACATCTCTTCCCAAGTAGCCTCCTCAGCTGGGCATCCTTTCCACTTTATTAATCATTGAGCTACTGAAATACCTTTATGCAATTTAGTTTGAGCATCAAGGACCGTTTCTGGTGCAATTAAATCAGATGAATCTCCTTCCAATCCAAGGGGCAAGGCAGATTCCAAGCTTGGTTGCCAATCACCTTCATCAACTGTGAAACATGAAAAACTGAGTGGATTTTCGATGCTCGAGGCAAAGCCAATTGATGTGCCATAGGGCCTATGCGCTTGATCACTATGAAAGGACCATAGAATTGAGCAAAAAGTTTTTGATTAATCCGTTGGGCCACAGGTTGTTCTCTATGGGGCCAGAGTTTAAGATAAACTTGCTGCCCGTCCTGAGTTTAAGATATCCCTCCGATGCAGATCCTCCTAAGCCTGAGACAAATGGTACTTGAGCTACTTTAAGGCCTCATCCCTCTCAGCCAACCCACTGCCTCCTCTCTTATCTTGTTGGGCATGAAACTCAATATAGTAGGTGGCTTTCTTCCATACACCACCTCAAATGGAGTCGTGTTAGTAGTTGCATGCCAAGTAGTATTATAACACAATTCAACCCAAGGTAATCAAAATGACCACTCTTTAGATTGCTCTCTTGCGAACCAGCTTAAATAGGTCTCGAGGCATCAATTCGTGACTTCTATTTGTCCATCTGATTGTGGATGGTAAGAAGAGCTCATCTTAAGTTTGGTGCCATAAAAGCTTGAATAACTCTATCCAGAAATGGCTCATAAAAATGGGGTCCCAGTCACTGACAATTGACTTTGGGATTCCATGAAACCTTACCACCTGCCTCACGAACACTTCAGCTACCCCTTCTTTAGGTGTATACAGATGTTTCAAGGGAACAAAATGAGCATACTTTGAAAGCCTATCTATCCAAAACCACAAATATGACTTCAATCCCCTTAGACTTGGAAAAGAGTTAATTAGGCTTAACTCGACCACTTCATCCCTCCTAGATAATGCATCTACAGTCATATTCTCCTTACCAGGCTTATACTTAACATCAAATTGATATTCCAACAGCTTTGCAATCCAACACTGTTGGTCAGTTGTAATCCTTTGTTGCAAGAGACATTTTAGACTTCTATGATCTGAATATACCACAAAGGGTCTACCTAAAAGGTAAGGGCGCCAATGTTGAATATCCAACACTGACACCATAATTTCCTTCTCATATGTAGATTTGGACAGACTGCTTTCAGTTAAGGCCTTGCTAAAGTAAGCAATAGGCTTTCAGTCTTGCATGAGCATGGCTCTCACCCCCCTGGCCAAAGCATCACATTCCACTTAAAACTTCTGAAAAATCTGGTAAAGCCAATTGAAAGTCTTGTGCTGTGATAGTCCATTTAAATCCCTCTTTTAGTGAACAATGTTAAAGGTTGAGCTACCTTGCCATACGCTTGCTTAAATTTCTTGTAAGCCCCAAGAAGCCCCTTAATTCCTTGACATTAGTAGGAATTGGCCAATCCAAGACTGCCTTGATCCTTTGTTGGGTCCATAGAGACTCTGGTTCCAAAATATTGTGGCCCAAGTACTCCAGCTCCTTCTGGCCAAAATGACATTTCTTGTGATTAGCATAAAGTTGATTCTCATGTAACACTTTGAGGACAACTTTTAAGTGTGAAAGATGGGATTCCCAATCTCAACTATATATCAGAATATCATCAAGTAAAATCAACACAAACTTGTGAGGCAGTATTGGTGAGGCCAAATAATATTACCAAATATTCATGATGGCCCTTGTGAGTTTGGAATGTAGTCTTTTTCATGTCCACTTCTCGCATTCGGATTTGATGAACCAAATTTGACGTCTAGTTTAGTAAAGTAAATTGCTTCATGCAACTCATTCAACAGTTCCTCCACAATGAGAATAGGAAATTTATCTGGAATTGTCACTTTTTTGAGTGTTCGGTAATCTACACACATATGCCAAGTACATTCTTCTTTACTAGTAAAACTGGGCTAGACGGTAGGCACTAGTACTGGGTCTTATGATCCCCATTTGAAGTATGTCGTACACTTGCCTTTCAATTTCATTCTTCTGAAAATGAGGATACCTATATGGACTCACAGAAACTGGTCCTTATCCGATTATCTAATCAATAGCATGATCAAATGGTCATTTAGGGGGTAGACTTGTAGGCTCACAAAATACTACCTCTAATTTGACAGTAGTTGCAGCAATAGCTCTTGTCATGCATCTAATGTAAAAGCTCCTATCTGTTTTTCTGCTGTAGGCAAGCATTGGGTTTGAGTGATGTCACAATAAAAGATGTTAACAAACTACGCAACGAAACCACTTGGTTTGGCTTAACTGTTCCTTGAAGCCTGAATTCTTGTCTAGAGGCTTGGAATTTCATAGTCATTGTCTTCCAATTTGTTCTTCTTCCATATTTGAAGCCAAGCAACACCCAAAATGAGGTCTAGTTCACAATATCTTAAGCTAGTGATACACTCCCTGAGATAACACCTGATACCCATTACCCAATTTAATACTCATCCTTCAAGTCTCATGGACAGTTAAACCCAGTGATTTAATTAACTATGGATGTAAGTATAGAAATTCTACCATCTTGACCTTCAATCTTCATCAAAGACTATTTATTCCCCTTTGTACTTTCCGTGGGAATGAAAAAATTCAACCACGCCCATATATTCTATCATCTTACACCTCCCTCCTCTGGTATATCTTCAGTTTCAGGATGAATCTCCTCCGCTAGTAATACTTTCCATTTTCACTAATCATCTCATTCTCCTCTAGTAAAACTATTCTCACCTTCAGATCAGAACACTTATCATCTGAAACATAACCCTTTTTTTCTCATCTCCTCCCAGTCTTGGGTTGTCAAATGGCATGCTCCCTTTGTCCTCTGGTTCTACCTGTGCGAGTGTTAGCCTCCCAATTATTTTGGTTCCATGACTGGTGATGTAAATTAAGTCGTAGATTTGAGAACATTCCTCCATCTCTTCGAATGAATCCTTGTTGTCCTCCGACATGAACATGAAGTCCAGCACCCTTCTTTATGGTCAATTTGACATTTCTAGCAAGCTGCATCGGCTGTATCCTCATGCAATTCCTCATATGGGTTCCGTATTTCAAGCTCGCTAAATCACTCCATTAATTCTTCCTTGACGACAGCCCACTTCAAATTTGAATGCAGCTCTGTCAATATTGTGAACCGGTGGATAGCAGTTCCCTCCATACACACTTGAGCTAAAGTTATCTTTGACTCTTCCAGAGTTTGATTAACCTGAAAGTATAGCTCAACCCTTGTCAACCACCCCCTCAAGTCAGTATCATTGAACACAGGAAATTTGACTCTTTTTGCCACTAAATAAATCATCCGGAGTTTCAACAAGAGTTGACATTGTAAGGATGTCCTTGCCTTGTGTATCCTTGTATACGGTCACCTCCTCACAGTTTCCCAACCCTAATGAATTTGGAGATTCACGCTCCCCTTTATTTAGCGTTTTTTGCCAAGAGTGCACTAAATTTGCAATGTACTTGCGAAATTCAGCCTGTTTCTTCATTACTTGATCCAACTTCTGTTGTCCTTGAGTTTCGACACCCATCGCCCCAAATAGCTCCAAAAGCATTGTTTCAATCACTGTGCCATGCCTTCAATCTGAACTTGTGTTTGGGCTCCATTCTCTCTCAAATCTGGCAGGTCGGACCAAATGATACAGTTACTCAGCCAAAAAGAGAGAGCAAATATCAAATAGTATTGTCTCTAATGTATCTCTCTTGAACGAAAATGGTAACAGGGTCTAAATAGAGGAACAAAGGAGAACGTAAAAGGGAAAAACAACACGAGAATATCTCACCCTCTTGCCTGACCCTCAGGCTGAATTCTTGCTGCAACTCTTCTCTCTCCTGCTCATCTTTCCTTCTCTCTCTTATAACCAACTTCCCAATATGTTGTCCACTCAGCATAACTAACTCTCCCCCAAGTCCTTCACCATGTTACCTCTTGTGGAATATACCTTCCAAGTAGTACCATCTCAGTTTACCTGTTGTTCCAATAACTGTCTATTCTTGAGTTAGTAGGCTCACGGGTCTCATCAGGGTAACAGCATATTTCAATTTTGGCAAACTTCACAAGATTGGAGTCGTCATCAGCAATAACAGCTTCTTTCAAAGCTCATTCGAGACACCCAATTTGATTGGTGCCCTAGACAAGTCAAACCCAACTAAGATGATAAATGGAAAATTTAAAATTCTTCACGTTTTGTAGTTCATTTTTATCATGTGAGATTCATCCATGACACTGATTACTATTATGCTGTAATCTTCAATTTTAAGGCTCATTCCTTGGATGCTTATTGTTACAGTTGCGTATGCAGAAGTACTTGGTGTCCAAGAAAATAGAAAGGCTGAAGGAGAGGAGATGAAAAAGTTGGCTGAGGCTATTTGGAAAAACCGCAGGTTGTCTCTGGCTGATGCTCTAGGAAACAATGACTCGAATAAAACTATGGTCATAGATGCTCGAATTAGCAGGCTTCTGTAAAGGTGGTCAATTTTCTGCTGCTTCTCTTGCTAGGTTCAGGTTGGACTATGATTCTTGATGACAAGAAAATGGATTAATTATGTGCAGAAGTTAGTCTATAATTTTGCATGGAGTAGAAATTAGTCCATATTTAGGGTTGTTCAGAATGTATATTTAGCTTTTTAGCAAATGTTAAGATATGGTACTTTTAAATTAAATAGAATAATTCTTTATAAAGTTATTATAATTTTTTTTGAAGTTTATGTTAACACGTGGAATGTGAAACTAGTTATGAAATTATCGTATCTATTTTTTTTATATATTTTTAATTGATTATAAAGTTAATTCATTTGATCTTTGTTGAGATGTTAATTTTAGATAAGATTGTATCATTTTGGTTTTGTAAATCTTTCTTATGCTGAAACAAAATAGAAATTACAAAAATACTAATTAGTTTGAAAGCAATACGCACGAATTCACATATGTCGGTTTGGTTGAAAATAGTTTGATATTCTTCACAGCATTGTGTTACCTTTCCATTTCAACGATTAGCTCTGAAATTGCACCTTTAATATTTGATATTGTATTATACAGCAGTTCTGTTGAAATTATGAAACATTTTTCTATAAGCAATATACGTATTTTATAAAAAATGCAATGTTAAAAAAAATAGTAGCCTGTCATTCAGAAGTTAAATTGATAGATAATAAGAAAATAAGGATTTAATGTGAATTTGATAAATATAGATATCATGCGATAGTTTGAAATTGAATCTGAATAATTGATTCAAAGGGATAATTAAGGAAAGAAAATGGAGACAATCGTTTGAATTAATAATAAACGATGAGATAACTAAAGAAATGAGAGAGGTGACGGTGAACCTCTCCATATAATATTCCTTATGGATATAATGAATGTGAGATGACATCTTCATCTTTTAAGTTCAACTTTGCTTTGTATTTCGGCTAGAGATACTTAAATTGTTGGAGGTTTTTGTTTTCTTTGTTTTTTCTGAAATTTGATCCGTTGTTATCAATCAAAGCTTTTATTTTAGTTTGTTGATCTAAAAGAACATGCAGAGTTAAATGGGTTATGTCATGGTTGCAAATGCATAAAATAGAACTGAACATGGCATTGAATGATATACGTACCTTTTATTTTCAAAGCATTTCACGCTGAAGGAGGTTATATATAATCTTTTTATTTATTAATCGAATTCTCTTTTATTTTAAGTTAAGTGTATAATTGAGAAAAAAAAATATTAATATTATCATAAACTTTAAAAGTATGTTTGGATGAGATTTTCGAAAGAGAAAAAAAGAGAGAAAATATTTTTTAATTTTAAATTGAAAGACTTATATATTATTTATGATAACAAATAAGTTATTAATAAATTAAATTTGTAGTAATATATTAATTTATATATTTTATTTTAAAATATTTATTGAAAATATAAATTTTTCTCTTTCTTCCCAATCAACTCCTAAAAAAACACAATAAATAAATAAAAAATATTAAAATATGAAATAAAAAAATTGAGATTAATATTTCAAATCCTTCTTCAATCTAGATTAAAAAGAATGATACTATCTTCTAATGCACTAATTCATCTATAATTTTTGGATCCAGATTTAGTCCCATTTAGGCGAGAATTGGACGATCTAATCAAATAAAATTTTACACTCTCGCTTAAACAAAAAAAATTTCGCTTAAGAGATAGTACAAAATACACTGACTGCATGATCCAGTTACGGGCCATATAATTACATTTGATTATACCTTATATTTTGGAACTCATGCTTTGATTGTGTTACTTCACACATAAGTGTGACATGACGTTTTTCTTTTATTTAAATACTGTGAGATAGAGAAATATTGAAAATAATATTTATAATTTAGTAGGATGGGAGTTTATTAGCCTTTTCTTGGATATACTTGACTTGAAACAAAGTAGCTAAGTATGAAATATAAGAAAATAAAAAGGATTATACAGAAAAATTTCTTATGAATTATTATTAGTGTACTTATTTTATGATATATTTTATAAGTTTAAAATGTTGTCACTATTTATTTAATTTACACAAGTAAAATTTTTTAATTATAAATTAAGTTTATCAATAAGACATTATTTGTATTGAATATATATATATATATATATAATAAAATTAAGTTCTTTTATTTTTATTTATTTATTATAATTTTATATTAATTTTACAGTAGTATTTTGTATTTGTGTCACAACCTATGCTGACATAAGTTTTGGTTTTAGATCTCCAAGTTTTTTTATAAGTTTATTTTAGTCCCTTAACTATTTTATAATCAATCATAATAGTCATTTAATTTAATACTGAAATTACAACTTAGTCTTGTATTTTTTGTTGCAAGATGGTTTGGTGAATATAATTTTGAAGTCAGACATATCAATATAGTTGGAGATAAATTTGTTGGAGATAAATTTGTTGGAGATAAATTTGTGGTAAATCTTAAAGCAAAAAATTGTTCTTACATATTATGGATGCTCACTGGAATACCTTATTCTTATTTTATTGCTTGCATGAACCATGTTAATCTCAATTTAAAAAATTTTATTTCAACTTATTACATAAAACAACATCATGCAGAGGCCTATCAACACCAATAAGGAAACAATCATGAGAAGTTAAAGAAATCAATAAATAAAGATGCAACTGGGAAGATGAGGGAAATGCAATGAGTAGGAAAGGAATGACTATGAAATGCAACAAATATGGATTATGTAATCATAACAAAAGCTACTTGCAAAGTTAGACAACCTATTGTAATAGAGACACCAATAATTTAGACTCAAGCTTCAAGTACTTCTTAGGTTTCAATTGATGGTCAAACAAAGAAGATGTATACCCAAAGGCATCAACATACTCATAATATTAGGATTTATATTTTGTGAGAAAAATATATTTTGTGCTTTTGGTTGGACAATATATTTTGTGGGGCTTGTATTTTGTCCTTATGGTTTTTTATTATGAACGCATTATGTTTCTTACTGGTATATTTTAATCAAAGCTCTAATTCTCATTGTACTTTCTTATTCTCATGTCCATGTTCAAAGATAAAACACATATTAAGGAAATATTTTCATTAGAGATAGAACAATCTATATTCAATATAAAACATTATTTCTTAATCAAAATACTAGTTCAAAGTGCATTTATATAAATTATATTCCTAAAATACAATGATTTTCTGCTAAACAAAATGAACCACAGTAGCAACATAACTTAATCAAAACATTATTTCAAAGTGCATTTACAGAAATTACATGCCTAAAAGACATGATCTTCTACTAAACAATATAAACCACAACAACACCATAACTAAACATATGAACCACAATGTTGATGCTCAAAATACAACTTTAATTCTTAATCTTTTTTCTTGAAAATTGAGTGAATTTTGAAGATGAAATTTTTTTCTTTGCCTCAATTTTATTATCTTTAATTTCATCATTTCCCTCCACTTCAAAAACTCACAACTCTAATCAAACTGAAAAATGATACAATTAATTAGTAACTCAAAATTAAATAACTTATTTATACACCATAATAAAACTCATTTATCCTTACAAAATTACTTCATAGTTTTTATATTTCCCAGAACTCTTCAACTTGTTGTTATTAATAGGCAATAAACACTCTTTATGTCACTGTAACAAAATAGATATCCAACAACTCTGACGTCATCGTTGAAGATTACAAGTCCATGGGAGTGAAAGCTTCACCATTTGTTTTGTTGTTTGAAAGACAATGCAGTATAAGTCTTAATTGGTATGTAAAGAAAATACATAATTATAACTATTTTTAATATTTTTTCAAATAAAAAAGTTCAAGTTAGATTAAATAAATAGTGTTTAGGCCTTTTCAATGCTATATAAGATGTCTCAATTAAGTCATATAACAGGCTTAATGAAAAAAGACTAACGTTGAGAAAAATAAAACTTTTAAGATGAAAATGAATAGAAAAAAGTTAATGGACAAAATTGAAACTTACCTTGAAGACTAATTTTAGCTTAAAATGATCGATCATTAAATATATAGAAGATTAAAATAATATTTAGTTTAGTTTAATGCCTATTTTGATAAATTTTAGAAATAATAAAAACTAAAATTAATAACTATTACATGCAAAAATAACAAATAATATTTTATTTAAAACACAATTATTTTACCAAAATTTAAAACTAATTAAGATTGCAGTGATAATTACTCATCCGCCAAAACTATCAGCTGGAAGCTAGCAAAGATATTTATTATTGGCACTATGCTTGGAAGTTGCTTATCAAAGATGATAGTCATATACTCATATTCTTTTGGGCAGCATACAAAACAAATTTCTTCTTAACCAGACTTCAATCACAAATCTGAATTTGACATCCACGTGTGTTGTTTCATCCCTCATGGAAGCAATGTTAACAGTCATTACTTTTATACTTTTAAGATCTAATGATTCTTAGTTATGTGAAGCAATGTGTTTACAGTGAAAAATGACAATTGTAAACAAATAATCCAAAGATCAATCTGGGAACTGGATTTAGGTCCTCTTTAGGTTCTTTTAAGTGTGTTGTTAACGTGATGCTCAAATTAACGGCGTAAAAGAGTATTAAGCAAGGATAGGGAATAGTAATTGTGCAGAATTGAATCAAACGTAGATGCTTTTACAAAAATGTAGTAAACAGGAAACAAACAGCGTACAAAGATATAAACAACAAGTACTGAAATTAAAATGCAGAAAGATAAATGTGGGAATATAAAGGTGTTGGAATATAAACGTACGACTCCTCACAATGGCAAACAACGGCCACCATGGGTCTCTTTGTAGCTGGTGTCTGGCGCGGTGCAGGGTTTCAGCGTCTCAGAGAGTTTAGGTGCGGTGTCTGGGTGCAAAAAGTCGTCCTTTGTAAAATAGTGTTTTGGAGTATTTATAGACATGAAGACCACCACCGTTTTCCTCCTTTCGCGGCCACTTCTTAATAACTACCTTCAACTGTTGATGCTCATTATCCACGATTACTTGTGATCGTGTTGTTGGTTGGGGCTTCTTTTGTAACCACTATTGCCCATGATCTCCTTTGCGTAGTGGTGAATGTTGATAACTACTGGTAACCGCTTTTAGATTTTTCAAGACTCTTGTTTTTCTATCTTTCGAGTATTTCTGAGAGAAACCTAGGAGACTCCTTTAATGTTATGGCCTTAGAATAGTTTCTTCTTGACTTCTCTTTTCGAGCCATTCTGGAGTTTTGAGAGCTTGTCTTGGTCTTGTGGACTTAGAACATTTTCTTTGCTCATTTCTGTTTTTCGAGCAATTTCTGGAGTTTTGAGAGCTCAACCAGGTTTGTGGACTTAGAATCTTTTCTGACCACTTCCTATTTTTCGAGCAATTTTGGAGGAAATCTGGAGCTCAGCCAGGTTTGTGGACTTAGAATATTTTCTAACCACTTCCTGTTTTTTGAGCAATTTTAGGTGTCGGGGACTTGAAAACTCCTCGACAAGCCATCAATTTTTGTGGACTTAGAATATTTTCTTGTTAGTCCTATTTTTCGAGCAGTTTTTGAGTGTTAGGGACTTGAAAACTCCTTAAAACTCCTCGAAAAGCTATCAGTTTTGTGGATTTGGAATATTTTCTTGCCAGTTCTATTTTTCGAGTAGTTTTGGGTGTCAGTGACTTGAAAACTCCTCAAAACTCCACGAAAAAGCCTTCAGTTTTGTGGATTTAGAATATTTTTTTGTCTTTCAAGCAGTTTCGAGAAAAATCAACAATGTGACAAAAATTTCCTAAAATAGCTCGAAATGTATCCCTTTTAATTAAAACTAAAGGTCTTAGATAATCTTCCAATATTCTCTTATGTTCCAGCTTATTTTTGTCTCCTTCTTGACCCTCAAAATTTTTTCGAAATGTAATTTCCTTTAAGATGATTTTTAACTGAAAATTTTCCTTATCCCAAACATAATGTCAGTTTATGTCTATTACAGATTCTGCTTTTGGTCCATGATTGTTTTGAATGGTTCATTGAAATGTTTCTAGAAAGTGCTCGGGTCTCAACACTACCAAAAACACGCCAGTTACATACGGATATACGGATTTATAGACAAATTTTTAAAAATTATCATAAAGAAGTTCTATTTACTATGACATAAAATTTTGTTGAATACAAACATTCATCTCAGACCTTGATTCAAGCTTGTGTACATAAACATTTTACTTTGAATATTATAGTTAGTTTGTATATATAATAATCTTTAAGAAAATCATTTAAGTGCTCTAATGATTAACATTTAGAAAGTTAAAATCTTTGTTGAATTCAATTAAAATCAAGATTTACATGTTCAACTACTAAATTGAGTAATTAATTATCAATCTATTCTGTTGGCTTAAAAATTAAATTCTTCAATATAAAATTATTCAATAATTGATTACTAAACATGTCTTTTTGTTAAAAAAAATTTTTTTTTTTTGGCACAGAACAACTCAATAATCAATTATCAAGATCAGTAATCTATTACTAATTAAGTCTATTTAGTAATAATTTAATGGTTTGTTGTATAAAAACATCTAGTAATTAATTAACAAAAGCAATAATTGGTTATTGTGTGACTCTATTGTGTATTTTAACTGATCTTGTTATTAAAACTTACCAACCACTTCTTAAATAACTAACTTTCATTTTTCGCTCCTCTCACATTCATTCGTTCGAGCTGCTTTGCTCCTCTGCATCCCAAAGTGCGCTGCCCTCCTAAGCGCGCAACACTAAGTAATCCAAGCTAACCAACATTTCTGACTAACGGTGGATAATCATATTTCTTAGAGGTACTAATACAACTCCATGAATGAGCAAAATGGAGGTTGCATTAATGATAAAGATCTCTGGAGAAACTGCTAAAAAAAGATTGAACATGTGGGAGGAAAAATTGAAAATCTATTAATTCTATTTTATAAATGAGTGAAAAAATTTATTAAAGATATAAAAAGAGTTTTTTCTAGCACATTTTATTACACACTAAGTTGTTTTTATGAGAGCATTTTGATTATTCTCTTTGAGAACTCTTGTTCTGAATCCATTTTCCTATAAAAGAGTTTGAGTTCTTATATTGTTATCTCTTGTAGTTCTTGTATTTTGTTAAAGAGTGTGAATTCTTGTGAGTGAAAGATCTCATAAGATTTGTAAAACAAGAAAGGTATTCTTGCTAACCGAAAGTCGATTATCTTGAAACAATTGTTATATCAAACTCATTGGTTATAGTGAAGAAATTCCCAAAAGTGTTTTGAAGACTAAATGTAGCTCTTAAGTAGTGAGAGTGAATCAATATAAATTCCTTGTGTGATCATCTTTAACTCTAACTCTTTTAAATTTATATTCTGAATTATCAATAATTCATTGTATGAATGATTTTTAACTATTTTCTTGATTAAAAATTTGTGACACATCTCATGTTAATTCATCAACTTCATAAATCTTGAATTGCATTTCTTCAATTAACTATTGTAATTGAAAAAATTTATTAGTATTCACTTTTACAATCTAAAAAATCGTTAAAATCTAATTCATCTTCTTCTCTTAGACTTAGAAGCCATTGAAGCTATTAAGAAAAAATTTGTACTTCTCTATTTTTTTTGTTTTGAAAAGTTCTTTTATATAAATTTCTCTAAAATTTTAAAAAAATAAATTATTTTTAACATAATTTTTTTTATATTAATTTTTTTCTTTTATAAAGATTTGTGTACAATTTTCCTTAAACTTAATTTTAAAAAATTGACACATTATTAAAGATGAAAAATATATATAATTCATTAAGTAATTATAATATTTTATCTTATAGTGACACACATGTATTGAATGACGAATTAGATTAAAATTAAAATAAAAAAATCGAGACAGTATTTGTACGTATTACATGATAGTGCATGTGCAAGATACTCTTATTACAAAATGGCTTTGCCTTGACATTGACTTTTCTGTGATATCGCTGAAAAATAATTGTAGCCTCTTTATCGCCTGCTTAGCATATATAAACTGGGACAATTAATAATTCCAATCAGTGAGAAGAAATTGTGTAATGAAACAAATTCCAATATATCCATTATAAAACACAAGCATCAAATAACACAGTATTTGACTACTTTTGAGATACAGGCATTTATTTCAATCCATTTCCAAGAATATAATACAAAAACAAAACTGATCAGCAAACTAAGCATAAGATAAGATCAAATGCAAGAAACAGATCATGCCCTAGTGAAATCAACGACCACCAGAGAGAAGTGATTCAGCAACGGTAGAAGTTTGGGTAGAGTGGGAGAATGGCTTATCCGTAGAAGATGTATAAGACATTGAGAAGTCCCCGAAATCCACATGGTGCCCAAAAGTTAAGCCAGTGGAAGATAAACTAAGCAAAGACAAATCTGGCAAAGGTACATCCATCTCCAAGTACTGCACAACTTGGCGCATGCTTGGCCTCACTAAGGATTCTGAATGTGAGCACAACAAACCAAGTTTCAACACCAACTCCACCTCCTCTGGCCTATAATTTGACCCCAAATTTGGGTCCTTTGCCTCAAGAATCTTACCCCTTTGCCAGCAATCAAACACCCTATCAACAAGAATTATGGTCTCACATTCCCCTACATGTTCTATAGGCCTCCTTCCACAAGCAACCTCTAACAAAAATGCACCAAAAGCAAACACATCAGAGCTTGTAGTTGCCTTACCAGTTCTAGTATGCTCAGGTGCAAGATACCCAAGAGTTCCAACCACATGGGTGGTTTGAGGATCAGTTCCATGGTCATACAACCTTGCAAGACCAAAGTCCCCTAATCTACCATTCAATTCTGCATCTAATAGTACATTGCTAGCCTTAATGTCCCTGTGGATCACGACTTGCTCCCATTCTTCATGTAGATAAAACAGACCTGAAGCAACCCCTTTAATGATTCTAAATCTCTGGCTCCAATTAAGGGTCACTTTTGGTTGGTTATAAAGATAATTGTCTAGGCTTCCATTTGGCATGTAGTCATAGACCAGAAGCAACTCTCCTTTGCGTCTGCAATAGCCCAAAAGGGGAACCAAATTCCTGTGGCGAAGACGACCAATACTTACAATCTCTGACACGAATTCCCTCATCCCTTGTCTGGATTCATGAGACACCTTCTTCACTGCAACCTCAAGTTTGGAAATTGGCATCACACCCTTGTAGACTCTACCAAATCCACCAGTTCCTAGTAGCTCCTTCTCCTTGAAACCCTTTGTGGCAAAGTACAAATCTTTGTACTTGAACCTATGAGGACCATATTCCTGTTCCCAATCTTCTAGCAGCTCAGCAAACTTCCTCTGCCTTTTGATGAGATAAGCCACGGCTAGACTCAACATAAAAACCAAAGTTAGTGAAATCAAAGGCAACCCAACAGTGAGAAACTTAGCCTCCTTTTTACCACCAAGTCTAGGAAGCTTGGGAAGTTGAGAGATTGTAAGCTGTTGAGCCTGGCCATTGACCTTAAAGCTCCAACCAAGAATATAATGGGAAGTATGGACTGACCCAGTAGATGATGAGAATCCAACATACATGCTATCGTCCAGGATTGGAGAAAGATCCTTGGTCAATGCTAACAAAGGGCGTTGTGGCTTATCCATGTTGATTGGAGCTAAAGTAACATCAATCTGCTTCTTCGCGCCATCATATTCCACCCATAGCTGCATCGGGTAGCCACTGAAAAGGGTCAAATTTTGAAACCGACCACTACTATAATACCCTGCAGAAGTTGAGTTGGCTGACTTCAAGTCATTGATATCAATTCCAACATGGTTGTCATTGATATCAGCAAACTCCTTGCTCTGAATGGTGTCAAGTTCAACACCAAACACATGGTTACTACTGTTGCCATTGTTGGTGTCATTGAAAAGGCCAAGGTACTGACTTGGTAGAGAATTTGGAAGCCCTTTTGTTGGAGCAACTACAAAAACAATCCCATGGCCACTCAAAGCTGCATATTCGGGTCTTATGGCAAACACAAAAGTTGTCGAGAAAGAAGACACGGTTCCATTTGAGGTGTTCTTGAAAACTATAGGATTTGGGTAGAAAGCATGACCCTTTTGTTGCTTTGTGTCATTGGTCAGTCTGAGTAAGCCATTTGGAGTCAACTCAGCAATACCATCGACATATAAATGGGATGATTGGAACCCGTTATAGATGAAACTGGTATCTTCACTGGCTACCACTGTCACCAACAAAAACACCACCAACACAAGCTTGAAGGACATGGCTGGCTATACTTTGCAATATGCTTCTTCTGCAAAATATTTCTTGGTTCTATGATTTTTTTGGGAGCCTAAAGACGTGAATCACGAACTCTAACAAGTGATACAATATTCATAAATACCCTGTGACCTTCATTCTAAATTGCTGAATGGCACCACGCCAAATTCGCTTGTGTAAAAAGAAAAAAGAAGAGACGCATCACTTTCTATAGGGTCTAATTTGGCTGTTTCTCCAACCTGTGCTGTACATTAATATTATTTCGGAAAAGATAATTGTACTTGTAACGTGTGTATACAGTTTTTATTAAATATTAAAATGAGATTGTATTCAAAATTACGAGTAGTAAAGCTTTATTTATTAAACCTAAATTACTTATCTAAGAACTCATTATTATTTTTGATATATAGTTTAAAAGAAAAATTTTATTATATGTAATTCAGTTCTCAACACATACAGGTCTAGTTTAAATAAATAAATTATGGTCATCTCGCTCTATGGGTCTAAATTTAAAAGAGCTATATCTTTTCGATCTGTGTTCTCTTGGTATATATCCTCTATTTTTTATATATCAAGATTATCTTTATGATTTTATTTTCGCTTGACTGTTTTGAAAAGTCATTGTTAACTATTAAATGGGTCCAACATCAGCTTGTGCGTAAAAAAAGATGAACGAAGACGTAGAGGAAGAAGAAGGGAGGAAGGTGAGACTCTTATCAATTTTAATATTTCCAAGTGTTCGATCGGTTCATACATTTCGTCTTGCGTTGTTTTTTTTGGTTGACTTAAAAACCAGTGCAGACACGCCATTTATTCTTTTCTCACTCGTTTATATAGATTTTTGGTTGGACATAGATATTCTTTATTCATTCTCAAAATATTTAAAAATAGCTGCTTTCACTGAAACTCTGACCAGTCATATATTACAGCAATATTAAAACATCATATTCAAATTTAATGATTCAGTAAAGGGAAATAAGACAGATTCTCATCACATCATATCATATCATACTATACTCTTAGAGAGGAGTGGGTGGGGTGGCTAGAGCACGGAGCAGCCACAGATCGTTGCCTTAGTCTCGAGTCGTTTTATAGTCGTCACTGGTCCACAAGGTTGAACTTCCCTTTAATTTTGGGTGCTACATTGTATTACTGAGATAATGAGAAATTAAAGAATATTTATGTATTTTTTAAAGTACTTTTTAAACTAGTGTATTATTTTTCTCTCCTCAAAATCTTAAGCAAGCTCCATTGAGAAAACTAAATTCAAATGACCGTATATTTGTCAACCAGTTAAGAATTTAATGTATTCACTGGATAAAAAAAAAATCATATATTTAACTTTTATATGTCGTATATTTTTTTAATTTGGTTCATATATATAATTACAATTTATTTTTTGAATTAGTCCTATAGTTTAAAAACATGTTAACAATATTAAATAAAATGACTAAATAAAAAAATACTTCATATAAAGATTAAAAATATAAATTTTAATTATAAAAATTAATTTATAAATATAAAAAAGTAATAAGAATGAAAAATAAAAATAAAAAGTTTATCTTATTCAAAATCCCAATTATGAAATTCTTGCGTCCTTGAATCGATAACCATCTTTCGGCTAACCTAACCTCCTCCGTCCCTCAGGACCAACAAGGGGTAGTATAAGAATATTTACTTGATGTTCATCCATTATGCCTTTGGGCTTGATCTTAGACCCTGACTTACCCTTCGTTGACGAACTTTCCAGAGGAACCCTTAGGTTTTCGAGGCATTAGATTCTCACCAACGTTTTTGTTACTTAAGCCAACATTCTTGTTTCCGCTTCGTTCACCACTGCTCGTGCAGGTCTTTCCCTCTAAGGCGGAACACTCCCCTACCGATTTATTTTTACATCACACAACTTCAACAGATCACTTAGCCCCGTTCATCTTCGACGCAAGAGTGCTCGATCAGTGAGCTATTATGCACTCTTTCAAGGGTGACTGCTTCTAAGCAAACCTTCTGGCTGTCTCTGCACTCCTACCTCCTTTATCACTAAGCGGTCACTTAGGGGCCTTAGCCAGTGATTCGGGCTGTTTCCCTCTCAATGATGAAGCTTATTCCCTATCGTCTCACTGGTCGACCTTGATCCTTGTTATTTTGAGGTCATATCTAGTATTCAGAGTTTGCCTCAATTTGGTACCGCTCTCACGGCCTACACCAAAATAGTGCTTTACCCCTAAATGTTTAGTCAACTATTGCACCTTAACGCATTTTAAGGAGAACCAGCTAGCTCTAGGTTCGAGTGGTATTTCACCCCTAACCACAACTCATCTGCTGATTCTTCAACATCAGTCGATTCGGACCTCCACTTAATTTCATCCAAGCTTCATCCTAGTCAGGGATAGATCACCTAGCCGTAAACGATGAATATTAGGCGCTCTGCGTATCGACTTGTGCAATGATGTAGCTAACGAGTTAAGTATCCCACCTGGAAAAAGGAGGCCTTCTTCGCCCTCCACCTAAGGTGTGCAAGAAAAGCCCAAAGCCAATATTTAACTATATTATATTAATATTATTATATTAATTACGAATAATTCGTTTATTCAGTAGAGGGAACAAGAGAAAGAATGAAAAATGTGATTTTATTATATTTCTGACCAGAAACAAAATCCACCACAATAGGGCAATTGTCACCGCTTATAAACCCGAACCTGGGCGATCTATCCATGACCAGGATGAAACTGACGCCTCCTAGTGCCGGAAGGTCAAGGAAGTTGGTGACCTGATGACAGGAAAACCAACGACTGAAGCCCCAATGCTGCCAAGCTCTTTCCCTTTATTAATTAAACCAAACTTGATTTTTTTGTTCTAAGTTTATAAAAATTAATTTATAAATAAGTACCTGCTAAAAAGATTAAATAAATATTTTAATTAAAAGTAAAAAAAAATGTAAATTTATTTAAAAATAAAACGAAATATGAAATAAAACATTATAAAATTTATATCTTTAAGTAAATTTATATATAGCGTAGTTTCATGTCTCAAAATAATAATTGAGTTTATTTAAGAGTTGATTGGGTTTATTAATTTTGTTAAGCTTGTTAACGAGGTATGAAGAGGACAAATGCTGAACAATTGAATTCAGAAATATGAGAAGAGCCAACCCAAGAATATCAGCAATTTACTTCCATACAAACGATAGTTTACAGAAGATTGCCAAATGTCACTGGAGTTGAAAATTTGTTCTGGAAAGAACAAAGAAAAGTTAAACTTGACTTTATAACGAGCACAGCAAAAATGAATGTTCAGAGAGGAAGATTAAGGCCTTTGCCAACATCGACTCCAATCACTTGAAGTACTCCCTTGTTTATTATCTGCATAAAACACCACAATCACACAATAACCTTAAACATGCATAAATTCAATTTTCTCATAATTCATAAATTCAATTTCAGTTATGTCATCAATTTGCAAAATAAGAGAACGAGAAATTATAAATGGCGTTGATGATTCTTTGTGGAAGTTAAATGGATAACTGTATAGTGATAAAAATAAACATATAGAATACTCACAAACTCTACAATGAAAACTCCAATGATTCCAATCATGCAAGCTCTAGAGTTCCATATTTCTGCTGTCTTTGTGAACCCAATAAGCGGAGCTTCAAATTGCGGCTCCACTTTTGGAAATTCCAGCTGAAGAAAGAAAAATACCCAATTGCTTCATACCCAAAAACATCTAAGAAAGTAAAATAAATAAAAAGAAACAAAGGGTGAAGTGATCATACACCAGCAGGGGGCTTGGCTGCTTTGATAACGAAGGAAGCTCTCTTCCTGAGAGATGCAGACTTATTCAAAGAACGATTTTGAAGCAACAAAACTTGTTGGTTTCGAGAGTTAATTGATGGGGTGCTTCCTGCGACGAGTGATGATAGCAATGTAGTCGATGAAGTAGCCATGGCTATGCTTGGCATCCACAACCATTCCTTCTTCCTAAGCCTTATCTAATTCATTTCTTTTTCTTTAACTTTTTTGTGTGGTTCAGATTTTAAGAAGGTGGGGTTGAGTGGTTCACAAAACTGCCTACGTGTTATCATAACTATGGTAGGTATAATAATATTTTTTTCAGATAATGTTACTCATGTATAAATTTTATATAATATTTTCTAATATATTTATAAATTCCTATCTATTAAAGTTAGTAAACTATTTTTAAATATTTTTAATCAATTTTTCTAATGGGTGTTAAGGAAAATATTAAGAAGTTAAAATTATTATTTTTTAAATGAGATCATTTATTATTTAAAATAATAAAAAGTCTTTTTAATATGCTTTTATAGTAATTTAAAATATTTAATAAGATATATTTAATATTTTTTAATACGTGTTCTTAAACAATTTTTAAAATAACTATTTTTTAATAAATATTATTTGCATAATTAACAGTCATGTTATGTTAAGAAGTTGTTTAACAAAATTTGCGAAAGATAAATTTTAAAGTAGTCAAATTATTATACAAATATGTTCATGTAGAAGTTGTTAAAATATTTGAAATAAATAAGGTATTTATAATAAAGAACTGAAATTATAATATTAATAAAAAATTTATTCATCAATTTATTTTGATAATTTTAGAGAATGCAAAATATTTTGTTATTCTTTATATTTGTTTTAATATAATGTTTTTTTTTATGTATACATAATCCATTTTTTGTATAAGGATTAAAGAATTAGTAGCGCATATATGTAAGTGATAGGAAAAAAAATGAGTTATATTTATTCGTAGTGTACTTTAATGGTGAACAATATTTTTAAAAAGTATAATATTACTAAAAAAATTGGTCAAAATTATTTTGATATATTTTATTGAATGAAAAATATATTAATAATTTCATTTATTTAATTTTAAATTTTGGTATATATGTATAGTATAAATATGATCACTATATTTATTTTATAAGCAGATGTTAAATGATTTAATAAAAAATGTGACAATAATTTGCAGTAATATTATGAAAAAGTGTTTCTTAAATTGATATTAGATATTTGTAATTTTTTGAACATATACATGATATATTAAAAGTATATATATTTATAATAATGAAGTAAACGAAATTTTATTGTAAATACTATTTAAAGTAAATATGATTGTTGAGTTACAAAAATTAAATATTTTAAAAGTAGTTAGACATTTAAAATAATGTGTGCTTAGTGTAAATATAATATTATTTCAGAAAAAAAATATAATATATATAATAAAATTATATTGGTGTGTTGTAATATATATAATGTGTTATTCTAATATAAAATATGTATTTTGTAATTCTTAATTTTTAATTACTATAAATTGTTGTTTAATAAATATTTTTATCCAATTTTATTCTTGTAGGGTGTGTTATTTGTCACACTTACAAGATATTAGGTTTGATTTAAATAAATTTTTATTATTAAAATTTCAAAGTATACAGTTATTGGAGCACATATAGAATGATGCTTCTGAGAAAAATTTATTTTATCAAAATATACCTCCCATAAAAGCAAGTAGGGTTTTTAATTGTTTCTTAATTATTTCTTTTTTAAATTAAACATTATTTAATTTTTTGTTATTGGTTTGAGTGTTATTTTCTTTCAAATCAAGTATTTTTAGATGTTGCTATTTAATTTATGGTGTACACTTATTCAATAATTATTGGGTGTATTTCCTGCAAGAAAATGACATGGCTAATGGCTATTATGTCACTTTGATAATTTTAATAGTCATCTTCGTTCTAATGAACAAATAATAAAAAAATTATTAGAAGATACATTTTCAAATTAATTTAAGATAATTTTCACTTACCATTTCAGTAATAGGGTACACATTAATATGTTTTTTTTTAATGAGTCTAGGTGAGTCTAACGTCCTTCCTTAAATTTGATAAGTAAGAGCATTTTTTACTTTTCATAGAGTTATGGAACGTTGAATCTAACGGTTAATAATACTGTAAAAAAAAAAAATACTACTGAAGGATAATTTTGTAATTTTTTTGCTTTTTTTCTTTTATTCTTTGGTGCTCTTGATGTTGTGTGGTGAAAATCTCCACCACGATTAAGGTCTCGTAATAAAAAAAAAAAGTAAGAGAGAGAGGTAGCTTGCTTCTAAGTCAACCCAACAATCAAGAGAACTTTGTCAATGCTAATTTGAATCTCCGGTGACAAAATAAGGCACCCAGAAGCAATAAGCAGTGGCATGAGAGAATGTTGCCGAAAAAGATGGAATGTTATCGAAGAGAGGCGGAAGCATGGTGGTTGAGGCATATACCTATGTCCAGCAATGGAGAAAAAATGTGTTGCTTTCATCAAGTAAGTGATCCAAAGGCATCCACAAGTGTTTGAGATTAAAAGGGATCTGGATGGGAAAGGAAATGAATTCTATTTATTCATATTATCGCCTAGTGAGTCTCTTCCTTTATCCCGAGGGAAAGCATGGGTCGGGGAACACCGGGTGGTCTCAACCGGCAAGGTCTTCCAAGTGACCGGAAACTCGACTGCAGGGATAAGAAGAAGAAGTTCAACTCGACAACTCTGCTGCACATGTGGGATGGAAGCAATGAAAACAGAAGGGTCAAGAGACAAGGCGCGGTTGTTAACAGTGATGCCGCTATCAAAGTCTAAGCTAAGACTGTTGAAATTGGAACACATAAAGGACTCTCTGTTGATGGAGGAGGAGTTTGTAGCAAATCAGGAGCAGCTCAAGCCTCAGGAAGAGAAAGCTAAAGAAAACAAATCCAAAGTTGATGACCTTAAGTGTTCTCTTATTAGCACTAGTTATTTCGAAGAACTCATTGATGAGAATCATGCAATTGTTTAGTCATTAGTGGAACCTAAATAATGTTGGCATCTTGATTTTTGTCGATAAGGTTCAACTCGAGTCTATATGCAAGAAGAAAGGAAGAAAGAAAGATGAAGAAATTAGAAACATTTTACATATTTACCCTTTACTTGTTAAAAAGTTTCTCATACTTATCAAATTTAAGGAAGGACATTAGACTCACCTTTTAGGCTGCATTTGGTAGCAGTGTCTTTATATCTAAAGACATGGACACTGGTGGGTGTGATGGACAGGACACAGATACTAGTATGCGTATTGTGTTTGGGAGTTTATAGACATGTCCATTAAGTTGTGTGCTTGTATGTTGTTTGGTTGTTTTAGATATAGGGACAGAAAATATAAATTGACACAATTACCTTTTGATTTGAAATTTTATTCATTTGTTGTTTATTACAATTTTCTCATCAACTGAAAATTTGATTATATTTTTAGGTTGAAATTGGGAAAGTTATGCAAACATTTCACTCATCGTCTTTAGCAAAGATCCTTGGACTTCATCATTAGCCATCTTTCAAAGCATTTGTGAGTCATTTTCAACTCGATTTAGTCCTATCTCGCGCGATTAAAGTTGTGTGTGCCAGTCAATGACCGTGTTTATCTTCTCCAGCACGATTTTCATGCAATCCTTTCTGTGCCATCGTCCCATCTGCCATGGTTGCCCTCATGTAAAATCCTTCATCTTAATCTATGTTTTTATCAATTTGGGATAATGTGTGTGTAAGGTATTTGTCTGTGGACTACAGTAGCCCAATTTGATATTTTCTAACCTATTTTTTTAATATTTCCCTCACTTCTATACTATCCACAAACTCATATTTTGTACTAATACTCTTACATACTTTCTGTATCAATATCTTCTTCTATCTCAACTTGATACACTAACATCTGTATCATATTTTTAATTGTATGATTTCCTTTCTTTATATGTATGATCTAATTCTTTTAAAATCTTAGTAGCAAGATATTTGGATGTTTGTAATTAGGATTCGATATTACATTCTTTCCATATTAGATAATGAAATCTATGATTTTATATTGTACCAGAATACCGATGTATAGGCATTTCACTGAATGTTATTCCTGTCTTTAGTTTTCTCCCTCACGAAACCTAATTCTGAAATATAACAAAAGCAGCTAATAGAAAGTTAGTTTGGAAGTTTTCAAAATTTTGGATTTGAGATATCTTTATCAAAGCAGAATAATTTTATTGTATGTTCTAACTTCATTCTCACTATAGTGTGTTTGATTGAGGAGAAAAATTGTCAATAAAAGTTATTGTTGTATGCTGTGCAACTAAAAGCATACAATCCATATAAAATTTTCAGCTTAAAGTGGTTATTGGTTGTCCCTATGTAGAAATAAAATAACATGCTAGAGACATGTCTTGTGATAATCCTTTGTTAGATCAACTTCAAATTGTACATCGTAATATGAACCTTTTACCACCTATTTGCAGGTGTAGACCATCATCCTTGATGGCGTCTAACACAATTGGCATGTGTCGATGCGAAATGACGTAAGTTAATGGTTTCCAACAAAGTCGAATCTTTTGGAAGCAGATTTTGGTGATGCCCCGTCTGGAATATGAGTATGTTTGACCTTTTAGTTGCCTATTATTTCAACATATCGTTCTAGTTTTCTATTTGTTAATGTTATAATTCATTGTATTATTTTTTAGAAGGAGTGCATTTATGGCTTCTTTGACTGGTATGATCGTGAAGAGGAGTTTGACAGCACTACATCTTCCGCTATGATGACACTCCACCCTATAGGGATTGAAGTAAAAGATCTACGACTAAAGCTTTCAAGAATAAAGAAGAAGTTGTGTGATTCAAGGAATCAGTACCACTGCCTTATGGTTGCTCTTGTTATGTGTTTGTGTGTGATTGTTCTATTGATAATGTATTGTATTAGGCCATAGAAGGTAGAAGGTAGTTAGTTTGGCAAATTTGTAATATGGCAATTTTGTTGACAAGATAATGAAAGGAGCAAAGTTACATATGAAATTAGGCCACACAAAACAACAAAACATACCTCACTGGCTAAGACAAAATCATTAGGCCACACAAAATAAAACTAATGACAAGGAATTTTGTAGATTCAAGTGTTCTTAGTACTACATCAACATTAGATAATTAAATAC